ACTGCCCAGGCAGGTCTCGAACCCGCAGGCTCAGGCAATCCACTCACCTCAGCCTCCCAAGGCGCGGGATTACAGGCTGAGCCACAGAGCCCAACTGTAATTATAGTCTTAACTTTGACAACTGCATAGATCTTGTTGTAATTTATGTTTTCATTTTTCCTTTACCAACAGTAGTGATCTCCTTGTATCAAAATCTGACATTTAAATTTCATTGTTTCTCTTGTGTCGGGAATTACAGCACCTTGTGGTCAAACAGTTAACATTAACTTTTGAATTCTTCCGACCATTCGCACTGTATTAGTCAGCTCAGGCTGCCATAACCAAATACTATAGCCTAGGTGGGTTAAGCAGCAGATATTTGTTTTCTCACAGTTTTGAAGTCTGGAAATCCAAGACCAAGGTGCCAGAAGGGTTGCTGTCTGGTGAAAGCTCTCTCCTTGGGTTGCAGATAACGTCTTCTCACTGTGTCATATGACATATGGCAGAGAGAGAGAGAGAGAGAGAGCACACCAGTGAGCAAATTCTTTGCTGTCTCTTCTTATAAGGGCACTGATCCCATTGGACAAGAGCCCTGTCTTCATGAACTCATCTAACCTTAATTTTCTCCTATGACCTCATCTCAAAATACCATCATGTTGGGAACTAGAGCTTCAGCATATGAATTTTGGGGGACACAATTAGCCCACAGCTAAGATCTTAGTGGAGTCTGGGTATTGGCTGAAGCATGCAAAGAACTTTTCTAAAAATGCTCAACCTCATATACCCAGAGGAACATAAATTGTTCTACCAAAAAGACACCTGCACACACATATTTATAGTTGCACTATTCATAATAGCAAAAACATGGAACCAACCCTACTGCCCATCAAAAGTGGACTGTATTTAAAAAATGTGATACATATACATGATGGAGTATTACAAAGCCATAAAGAACAAAATCATGAATTTTGCAGCAAGTTGGATGGAGCTGGAGACCATCATACATAGTGATCTTTCACAGAAACAAAGAACTGAATACCACATGTTCTCATTCATAAGTGGGACCTGTGATTAACATTAGCACAAGGAAGGGATCGGCAGTCAATGGACACTGCCAGGGAAGGGGAGGGGTAGGCACATAACAACACAAAGAGTACCTGGTCCTAAACCAGGGGAAGTGAGGACCAGCTGGAGACTCTAACTTCACCTGCACCCAGCCTACTTGTGTAGCTAATACTGACTTGTACCTCACATCTATAAAATAAAATCTTTTCTAAATTGTATTTATTAAAGATAGACGCTTCCATTTAAATGAATCAATATTTTTCACTCTGCAATTTTTTTTTTTTTTTTTTTTTGAGTTGGAGTCTCACTTTGTTGCCCAGGCTGGAGTGCAGTGGCATACTCCTGGCCACCGCAGCCTCAACTTGCTGGGCTCCAGCGATCCTTCCACCTCAACCTTCCAAGTAGACTGAACTACAGGTGCACGCTACCACGCCCAGCTAATTTTTGATTTATTGTAGAGACAAGTTCTCACCAAGTTGCCCAGGTGGGTCTCAAACCCACGGGCTAGGCAATTCACTTGCCTCAGCTACCCAAAATGCTGGGATTACAGGCTGAGCCACTGAGCCTGGCTCACTCTGTAACTCTTACCACATTTATTAACATTTGTTTCATAGTCTTCTTAATAATGCAAGTTCTGTATATGGAAAATAGTTTATAGTTAAAATGTGCCCAAGAATAAGATGATGCCTTGAAAAAGTTATTTTCACAGAGATATTTAGTTTAATGCAGATTCTGTTCCTCATTAATAGTTGATGAATTTCTAAACAACCCAGCACTATTTTCAAAACTTTATATAGTATAGAAAGTCTACCCACCATCATTGAGAATTAATACTTTCTGTTGAAGATTTACTTTGAAATAACACATACTGGAATTATTACAGTGTAGAGGAGCGATGGATTTCCTAATATGAAACTACAAGAAGCCAGTCTATAGGAAATGTTATAGAGAGCCATTCCAATATCCCACACAAAATATTCATTTAAACTAAACAAAAGTAAACTGACAGCAGAGACTGAGGGTATAAAATCATCTTAAAACCCTTTGTTTGAATGCTATTAGTGTGCTTTTATATTTTTAAGTCCTTGGACACACCCAAGTAAATTTTTATCTCTTTATCTGCTGTAGGTAGGCTGTTGATTAAGAGGGCTTTTTGCTTTTTCTTGTTTTCAGGTTTACAGGGGTGTGGACTGTTTTACAGTTTTGAGGATTCATCTATTTCTGTAGTGGACTTTTAGTATAAAGAGTGCTGTAAATCTGATGAAATAGTCTGTGTCTCTTTACAGGATCTTCCTTTTTGTGCTTTTAGTGTAATAACCCCTATGTGTTTTCTTTGTTGATTCTATTTCAGTGTTTATCTGCTGAAGAGATCTTTTCCCTTCATGGCTTTTCAAATGTTACCCATATAACCAGCTCCAACTTCTCTGTCATCTGTCCCGCTGTCTTACAGCAATTGAACTTTCACCCTTGTGACGACTGGCCCAAGCACAAAACGAAACCAAGTCTTTCAGAAGGTAAATTAAGTGTTTTATCTCATCTATTTGAAAAATCTGTGAACCATTATGAAATGGTGTTAGTATTCCTCTTTTTCTGATTTATTGCTTTTAATTAATCTACATAGACCCTTTTGGTTCTAGAAGTAAAATACTTGTATTCTGAAAGCATTTAGAATAAGAAGAATTATAACTCATTTAAGCTTCATAAGTTATGTTCTTTGTAGAGTCAAAATTATATTTAGTACACTTAAAAACTCTATAAAATTCAGTTCTTGATTTTAAACTATATATTTTATACTGTGCATATTGGATTGCTCATTAACTAGTTGGCTTATAATTAATCAGTAAATTTCCATTATCTTTTGCTTATCATATTATTTTAAAACAAGAGGTTGGGCTTGGTGGCTCAGCCTGTAATCCCAGCACTTTGGGATGCTGAGGCGAGTGGATTGCCTGAGCCTGCAGGTTCAAGACCCACCTGGGCAACTTGGCGAAACCTCGTCTCTATAATAAATCAAAAATTAGCCAAGTGTGGTAGCACACGCCTGCAATTCTGGCAACTCAGAAGGCCGAGGCGGAAGGATCCCCGGAGCCCAGTAGGTCGAGGCTGTGGTGGTCGGGAGCGTGCCCTGCACTCTAGTCTGGGTGACAGAGTGATACTTCAACTCAAAAACAAACAAACAAACAAAACGAGAAGAAAAATTCCCTGCCTTATTAGTAGAAAAGAAAGATACAAATAAACAGGCAAATAAATAATATAATTTCAGAATGAAACATGCTATGAGGAAAATAAAGTAGGCAAAGGATAGAAGGTGATGGTAGGTGAGTGTGAGTTTAGATAGGTCAAGGGATCCCTCTCTGATAAGGTTGAATCTGGGCAGAGTCCAGGCCATGGCAAGGTCTTCTGTTGCAGAAGAACATTTGTGGTCAAAGTAGTCAGCATAGCTTGGCACAAAAGGAGCAACAAGAAAGCCTATGTGTGTGGAGTCCAGTGAGCAGAAGAGGGTAAAAGAAGATTGCATCCCAAAGAGAGATGGAGGCTAGCGGGGAGGTTTTGTGGTGACTAGTAAATTGATTGGGTTTTATTCTGAGTGTAGTATGATGCCACTATAGTGTTCTAAACAGGGGAGTGCCCTGACTTCATTCAAATCTGTAAGAGATTATCCACCTGCAGTTTGAAGAATAGATTGTAATGGGGTAAGGTCAGAAACAAGGTGATTGGTCAGAAAACTATTTGCATGGGGCTGATTCTTAAGATGATGGGGACTTGGACTAAGGTGGGGGAAGTAGAAGTGAGATGAATTGGTCAGATTCAGGATGGGTTTTAGAGATCACGCTAAAGTGGGTTGCCTCTGGATTGGATGTGGGAGAGAAAAAGATGAGTCAAGGTATGAGTCAGAGAAATTGGAGAGATAGTTGTATCATTTCCAGGTATGTAGAAGACTGAAAGGAGACATTTTATTGTGGAGGAAGGGAGTGGTGAGGATGAAGAGCATAATTTTTGACACGATCACTTTGAGACATTGACATAGACCCCAAGTGGGGATGGACAGCATGTAGTGGCACACAGACAACTGGAGAAGAGATTGTATTCAGAGGAGAGATTGAGCCAGAAGATTTGCCAGTCCAGAGATGATATTTAAAGACGTTGGTCTGAGTGAGCTCATCTAACGTGAGAATAGATAAAGATAGAGACCAAAAGGGAAACTCAACAAAGAAAGCACCCATTTCACTTACTTTTGGATTCCTTTGTGTATGTACACTTCAATCTCTATACTAATAGCAAGAAAATAACAATAACAATGAAAAAATTAACAACCAATTCTTTTGTGGTACTTACTATGTGACAGGCACTGTTTCAAGTACTTTACATCTATTAACTCATTGAATCTTCATGCAACTATATGACATAGACATTAATATTCCCATTTTACCACCAAGAAAACTGAAGAATAAAAATCATTTGCTCAAAGTTGCACAACTTGTATGTGGTAGAGTCAGCTTCAACCCAGGTTGTCTCGGCTTCAAGAGCTCATGTTCTCATTTATATTCTATATTAATATATACCAAGCATAGAAGTCACCAAGCACAATTTGTCAATATAATTAGCAATTTTGTGAATAACAATAATTTCATTTTTGAAATAGTAGTAATTTTGAAAAACTGCTAGTTGTTCAAGCAAATATTTTTGCTGGAGCATATTTTATTTCTACAACCCTTTTTCTCTTTAATACAGCTTGCACTTTACATTCAAAAGTAAAGTCAGCAAATGCTTAAGTGTACCAACATTTACTAATCGTAGAGCACAGTGAAATTAGACTCTGAAGTCAGCCCACCTAGGCTCAAATCCCGGCTCTATGATTTTCTAGCTATGTTGGGCACATGACTTTAACCTTCTTCAGCCTCAGTTTCCTCATCTAAAATAGTACCTTTCTCATAGAGTTGCTATACAGATTAAATTACTTAATGTTCATAAAGTACTTAGAAAATTATCTGACACATAGTTAAGTGTTATATTGGCCTGCTAGATGAGTCTGTTAAATAAATAATATATATCTAATATGTATATAATTCTAAGTACAGGGAGTGAGGCTTTAGAAAAAGCAAATTCTCTACTCTGTGCAAGTTAATTACTAATATTCAAAAGTACTTTAAATCCCCCAGTTGCCTCGGTTACTGTATTTCCAGAACCAGGAGGTACGAACTGAGAAGTCAGAAGGAGGAAGTGAGAGACAGAATTCTAGGGACAATACTAAAAGGCATAAAATGGAAAAGTCAACAATTCTAAGTTACAAAATCAGAAAGACAACAAATATTTGGACAAAGGACCTCTCCAAAAAGAGAAATGTTTCTTAGGGTGCATATCATCTTAGGAATTGAAATGGGACTGGAGTGAGATGCGATAGGGTGGGGAAAGATAGGGAAACTTTTCTAGGCAATTAGGAAAAACTATTAGATTTATTATGAATCTAATTTGATTTGATTATGCATTGCCTTTTTTTTTTCTGAGTTGGAGTCTCACTCCTTCACCCAGACTGGAGTGCAGTGGCATGCTCCTAGCCATAGCAGCCTTGACCTGCTGGGCTCCGGCGATCCTTCCGCCTCAGCCTTTCAAGTAGCTGGAACTATAGGCGCGCGCTACCACGCCTAGCTAATTTTTGATTTATTGTAGAGATCGGTTTCGCCAAGTTGCCCGGGTGAGTCTTGAACCCGCGGGTTCAGGCAATCCACTTGCCTCGGACTCCCAAAGTGCTGGGATTACAGGCTGAGCCACTGAGCCCGACCACTTTGTTCTTGAACATGTGTTTATAGGTTCACCCCATTCCCTGGTCCCTATGTGATCCTATTATTTTCTCACTAAGAAATGATTTTAAAATAATTAAATGCACCAGATTCTTGATGTATCTGTCCACTTAATACAGTTTCAAGTCTTAGCTCATTTGTGGAAGACCAAATAAAAGCAGTCCAAAGAGGTCATGATATAAGAATTTTATGAATATATGTTGACATTTCAGTGTGCAGATAAAATATACTAATTTCTCAGAGACCTCACATTTTATTTTGAAATTGCCTTAAAAATATGCTTTATAAAATTATATGAATGAGGACAGTAAGCTGATGGCAAATTAAATTCTCTAGGAGAGAAATTAATTAATAATCTTATTTTTCAGAAACCTCACATTTTATTTTTGAAGGTGTCTTCAAAAACATGCTATGTAAAGTCATTAATGAGTGCAATAAACTGATGGTAAATTAAATTTTCTAGGAGAGAAATTTACTACATTTTAGCAATAAGTTAATGGTCTGAAATTGCTTCATTTTTTTTTTTTTTTTTGATGAGGGCACAGAGCAGTATTTAATGCAAATAACAGATAAAATAATAGAACATTACTTGAAGCATCCATGAAGATCACGTTGTCCATCTCCATGACACAACCAGACATAAATCTAAGCTCCAGAGAGGTTAAGTGGCCTCCTGTAGGTACCATTCCTGAGGTGAGGTGACAGTTCTTGATTTCTAGTTTGTTACTCTTTTCATTGTATAATAATGAATTAAATGAACTAAAATATATGTGATGATCTACTTACTCATTTTTCTGAAATATTATAACAATAAACATCATTTATAAGGGACTTGTCATATTTTAGAAACAGCATTAATTGGTTTTATTTTATTCTTGTAAAAAAAGGTTTGAAATAGAAGCTATTTCTATCTGCATTTTAAATATGAGAAAACTGAAGCTTAGTGATGCCTATGATGTCAATAAAGGGAAGAGCCAAAATTTGAACACCAGTCCTCTGACTCCAGAGTTTGCACTGTTAACCACCATTAACTGGTAAAAGCTTCTGATCTGAGTGGGGCCAGTCTGTGCTGTTTGCAGATCGGCAAAATGGTGATCCAAATAGAATCATATTTTCTGATCTATAAGATGGGCATAATAATAACACCTAGCTCACACAGTTATTGTGAAAATTAAATGAGTTAAAATAGCTGAAATTGTTAGAACAGTCTTAACACACAATGTACATTCAATAAATTTAACTCTTATCACTCATATTTCTTGGAAATCTATTAAAATCTTTCAGAGTTCATGTAGAAGGAGATAGGACCCTCTCTGAAACACATCCTTAGAAGAAGTTCCATGGGTATATGGAGAAGTCGAAAGAGTGTTTTCTTACTAATTTATTCTTTTGTGCCCCAGTTGAGTGGAAATTTTTTTTTTCCTGAATAATGTTCTAACAATAAAAAAAGAAGAAGCTCTGTAATGTGCCTAGAACATAATGATTTAGACTCCCAGTCTCCCAAGTGGTGCCGATAAATGTGCACAAGGGCAAGGAAGTTTAGGAAGATTGCATAAGCAAATGGATTGTGTGTGTGTGTGTGTGTGTGTGTGTGTGTGTGTGTGTGTGTGTGTGTGTTTTAACAGAGTTTGAGCTGCAACTTGAAATAGGGTGTTCATTAATTCATTCAGCAAAGAACATTGTTTATTTATAAACAATCATGTTTTTATTCTTACATGTTTAAACTTCAAAGTACTCTCCGTTTGATGCAGTATACCTATTGAGTCACTTTTTCCATGCCAATAAAGGGAAGAGCCAGTTTTTGAAGTCATCAATTTTGATGCCTTTTAGTGCTTCTGCTAATTTTTGTTTCACCTCTTCCACATGGGCAAAACATTTCCCTTTGAGGACTTTTTTCATGGGGAAACAAAAAAGTCACTTGGGGTGAGATCTGGTGAATAGGGGTCACAGGAGTCATGCTGGTTTTGGTCAAAAACTGCTGAACACTCAGCACAGTATGGGTAGGTGCGCTCATAAATCACCCATCATGAAATGGGTAAATGTATTGAAAGAATCTCAAAAAAAAAAAACATTGAAGCCAAACGCAGCCTCTCACAACAATGCTAGCTGGAACACTGATGCCAGTGGGTTCCTAAACACTTACCTATCAGGGAAAGCCTGTATTACAAGGTACCTGCCCTCCAAAAAGTATTTCTGGTTTTTTTGGGAGGTTCCCCTCATATGTACTATCTGCTGGCCAATTTTCTTGGTACTGAGAATAAATAAAACATAGACCCTTCCATTGAGAATCTTGCAGTGTATATGATATAGACACATATATGTGATAAAATTACAGTAGCACACGAGAAATGGTAAGTGAACCAATTAGCTTCAAACAGAAAGCTATGGGAAATCTTGATGCTCAATGGCTAGCTTCCTGGAGGAACAGGGAAGTTTTGTAGAGAGTTGGCTTGAGAAACGTATATTTCTCAGGCATGGAAGATGGACAGGTGTTTCCAGACAGTGTAAGTAGAAAGGTAATGCTGTGTTGAGAAAACATCATGCTTTGATAAAGGCCATGATGAGAAGGTATAAACAACACCAGAGAGGTTGTGTGTTAGTCAGTTTATGGAGGGAAGTATCAAATGGGAGCATGAGATGATCACTTTTGTGATTTGGTATTAGTATGGAGGCTTGGTCAACTAGTGAATGGGAGATCAGATAGAAAGCTGTCATATTGGCTGGGCTCAGTGGCTCAGCCTGTAATCCGCACTTTGGGAGGCCGAGGTGAGTGGATTGCCTGAGTCTGAGGGTTCGAGACCCACCTGGGCCACTTGGCGAGACCTCGTCTCTACAATAAATCAAAAACCAGCCGGGCGTGGTAGCACGCTCCTGTTGTTCCAGCTCCTTGAAAGGCTGAGGTGGAAGGATCACTGGAGCCCAGCAGGTTGAGGCTGTGGTGGCCGGGAGCGTGCCACTGAACTCCAGTCTGGGCGAGAGAGTGAGACTCCAACTCGGAAAAAAAGAAAAAAAAAAAAAAGAAAGCTGTCATATATAGGATAAAGGAGTGAGAGATTATGAGGACATTCAAGGCACTGGCAATTAGGATGGAGAAGCTGGAGACAGGAGATACCTGAGGCAGAACTGGTAGGGTTTGATCACCATTTGTCTATGGAATTAATTAGTGGAGAGTGAGAAATTGAAATTGATCCTAATGCTTCTGCTAATTATGTAGGTTAGTGAACCTACATATTATACAATGAATTGGAGTATTCATTCTCGGGAGAAGTTGATGAGTTTAATATGTGTATGTAACTTAGCCTCTATTTGCTACTCATTCTATTTGCTAGTCATTCTTTGACTTTTTATTTTAGTTTTCAACCTGTATATATCTTGTCCCCCCAATAAGATTATAAATATTTATTGAATGAATGAATGAGTGTAGGCTAGTGATGGGATAGAAAACTGTGTTAAGGGAAAACCTATGTTCCCTGTGTTAAGGGAAAACATGAAAAAAAGTGTGAGATTGAGAACTTTCTTTCAGTGGAAATTCTGAGGGGAGTAGGCTGGTAAGGTAATAGAAGGGAATGAGGTGGACTATTGGATCACATGGTAGGGCATGGCCAGGGTCTGAAACTGATAGGAAAGTGTCCTGAGAAAATAAAGCTGTTATGGTCAGTGCTTTGATGACTCATAGTTACATAGTACCACTTATTATAGTCCTTTTCATTTGGTTCTCAGCACAGGATACTTTGTATTACTGTGTGATGTATGTGTGTGTATTTGTATGTTTATAGGAATATGGGTGGTCTATGTCTTGGGCTGGATGAGTGCTTGCTATGTTTGTTTATTTACAGATAAAATCACTTGATCTAAGAAGAATGATAGTGAATAAGCTTGTTTTATTGAAGGATACAATTTTTACAATGTTGTTGAGTCCTTTGGGCATTTTAAAAATTAGATTGTCTCTACAGGAGTAATGAAGCATCCTGCTAAAAAATGGGGGCCTGAGAGCCAGACTGTCCCGGTTCAAAACCCAGCTTTCCATTTGTGTGAGAACTCCATAGGCTTTGATTTCCCCAACTGTAAGCAGGAGGCCATGGTGGTACTTCTCTCACAGGATTTTATGAGGAGCAAATGAGTTGATACATGTTGAGCACTTAGTGCAGTACCTAGTGCATGGCAGATGCTCACTGAAGTTGTTTCTAGTGCCACTGAGGAAGGTGGCCCAACATTTTCTGAGTATTTTAAGGAAGTGGCAATGCGGAGAGCTACTTTCTCCTCTTTCACATTGTACTTTGTGCAGTGTGTGGGGCCACATAAAGCCACTCGTGGCAAAATTCCAGGAACCAGGTTGTGTCTCACGTCCTGGGTATGTTTCACTTGCATTCCCATTTTTGCTCTTAAACCAACCCCTCTAGGAGGGGTAGATTGAGGCCCTAAGGCAATAGGTTAGCCATGCTGTTAGATGTAGAGTTTAGGATTGTATTCATTTCATTCTAGGCAACAATTATTGAGTACCTCTTGTGTGCCAGGCCCTTGGTCTGATAAAAGATAAAAAACAGATAAAAGATAGATAAAAGACATAGTTGCCTTTTGTCACCAGCATCTCAGTAAGTGACATTTTTCCTTAGTCTGGGTCTGGCATGGTGATTTGTGCAACACAGTGGCTTTCTTCGTCCCCTACTCACTTCCTGAGTGCTCATTGTACTAGGCTGACTTTGTGTCCCAGGAAGCCCCAGCTGCCTTCTCTGAGGAGGTGCTCTCCTCAGGAGTCTGCAGACAAATGATTATGACAAGCTCAGTAGCAGCAGATGTGGTCATCTTGAAGCTAACCTACTCTGATGCATCTCCAACCCTACCCTCCACCCATCATCCCATACCTTTGCCTTGAAACTTACACCACCTCTGTGTTCCTCTGAAAAACTGGGTTTTAAATTGGGCCTTGAACCATAGATGAAACTAGGTGGCTTGGAGCCTGTAGGCCTCAGATTGTTTGTCAGTATTCTTGATGTTCCCCCAATTCCCTGCAAGTTGTAAAAATCTTGGATCCCATAATGATGATTGAGGACTGATTAAAACATAGGCAGTATTACTGTGAATGGTGACTGTGCTATTTCATCTACTTTCCTTATCTTTACTGGCAACTACAGTTTTCTGTATCATTTTCATTGAGAAGATTTTGTTGTTTTAAAGAAGGTATCTATTTCAAGTTTTTAAAGAAGGTTTCAAGCTTAATGTAAAGTAAGACTCTGTTTGATTCCTTTGCTCTGATTACTTTTTACTTTTTTCCTTCTGACCCACAGTTTGGGGATACGGATTCCTGTCAGTGACAATTATCAATCTGGCATCTCTCCTTGGATTGATTTTGACTCCATTGATAAAGAAATCTTATTTCCCAAAGATTTTGACCTATTTTGTGGGGCTGGCTATTGGGACTCTTTTTTCAAATGCAATTTTCCAGCTTATTCCAGAGGTAAGGATGTTGGCTATTTGTTTCTGTGAATAATTGTTTCTTTTGAGCGTCTTAGCACTGTGTATGTTTTTAGCCTTCATAATTATCACAGCATTTTATGACATTTATGGTTTATAGGGTTGTGGATAAGAGAAAGCTGAATCACAGCGATTGTAAAAGGCCTGTCCCAAGGTGCAATGGATGTCAGTGTCGGAGACAAAATTAATAGTCTAGATGGGCCAGCCACCAGGACGTGCTCAGACAACTCTGGGACCTCTCTGAAGGCCTTAAAACTTTATTCTGGCTTGCATTTGGCAAATAAAATTTTTTTTTCTTTCTTTTTTTTTTTGAGTTGGAGTCTCACTCTGTTGCCCAGACTGGAGTGCAGTGGCATGCTCCCGGCCACTGCAGCCTCTACCTGCTGGGCTCTGGCCACCCTTGCACTTCAGTCTTCCAAGTAGCTAGAACTACAGGCACGTGCTACCACACCCAGCTAGTTTTTGATTTATTGTAGAGATGAGGTCTCGCCAAGTTGCCTGGGTGGGTCTCGAACCCATGGGCTCAGGCAATCCATTTGCCTTGGCCTCCCAAAGTGCTGGGATTACAGGCTTGAGCGACCGCCCCCAGCCTGTTATTTCATTTTATTTTTATAACTTCTGTATTACACAAATGCAGCAGATATTTTAATGGCATTTTGTACTGTATAATGGGCACAGAGAAGTCACTCCAATGAAGATGTTGCCCTGAGATCTTCCCAGAGGTAGACATAGGGCAAGAAGCCAGACATCCTCTAATTTGCCCCAGGGGGGAGATTTATAATGTGTGTAATGGTGTAAAATTGTGACTTTTTACAAATTACTTGCTCCTCCTATTTTATTTAAGTTTATGTTTCTTATCTATTGGGAACATCTTGACTCTTTGTAACTTCAAACTCTAACTTTTGCCTTTTGTCCTTTAAACAGGATTATTTCATTCTTACTGGTGTGTGTGTGTGTGTGTGTGTGTGTGTGTATGTGTGTGTGTGTGCGTACTTGTGGTGTGATTGGTGAGAAGCTTAAATATTTTTTTTTTCATTTTTATTCTTGGGTCTAGTCCTTGATTGAGTTCTTTTTAGGACTCATTGAAACTATAGGTAAAAGCTGGGCTCGGTGGCTCAGCCTATAATTCCGCACCTTGGGAGGCTGAGGTGAGTGGATTGCCTGAGCCCGCGGGTTCGAGACCTGCCTTGGCAACTTGGTGAGACCTCATCTCTACAATAAATCAAAAATTAGCCGGGTGTGGTAGTGTGCTCCTGTAGTTCCAGCTGCTTGGAAGGCTGAGGCGGAAGGATCACCGGAGCCCAGCAGGTCGAGGTTGCAGTGGCCAGGAGCGGCCACTACACTCCAGTCTGGGCGACAGAGTGAGACTCAAAAAAAAGAAAAAGAAAAGAAAAGAAATTATAGGTAAAAAAGAATATTTCTTGGGAAAAAACCCAAGTGACCTGCCATTTTTGCTGTAGAAGTTTGACTCTGGATATCATGGGCAAACTACACTACTTTTGGAGAAAGTAGGTAAACAACATAGTATCTTCATTATCTATACCTAGTATTATCTTCTAAAAATGAGAAGCAGTGTTTCTTCTTTACTGCTAAAAGTTCACTCCTTCAAGGAAAGCGTTGCTATAGGTGTTACAGCTAGGAAACTGTAAGATTCTCAGGTGACTTTATTTAATGGGGCTTTTGAGTATAAGATTTCTATGCCTTCTCATACACTTTGATTATTCAAAGTTCAGAGCTTTTGTTTTGTGGTTTTTGGCAGGTGAGTTTCCAGTATCACTTGGATGTGAAGATGGACTTGGAACATTGGCGAAAATTGTATACTGAGGAATTATAACATTATTTTCCATAAATCAAGTAAATTACTTTGTTTTACCTGACTTGCCTTTATTTTTCTCCTTTAGGCATTTGGATTTAATCCAAAAATTGACAACTATGTGGAGAAGGCAGTTGCTGTGTTTGGTGGATTTTACCTACTTTTCTTTTTTGAAAGAATGCTTAAGATGCTGTTAAAGACATATGGTCAGGTAAATGGACTTTATTTAAAATGTTTGATATTTTACTCCCTAAAGTTACTTTATATAGACAAATAAGGCAAGAATTTTATTCTTAGAATTATGTGAACAGTCCAGCTATTAGACTTGTGAATGTGAGGAGGACAAAAAGAGTCAGTATTTTGACAAGATAAATACTTACTGCATGTTGAAAAATTTGGAGCAAGTACCAACAATGTAATGTTGAATAACAGATGTGAATAATTGGTATTCCATTTATATTCATCAAAATAAGAAAGTATGTGTGTCCTAATGTTTCTAAACAGAACAACAGAATCTAATAAATTAAAATACATTTAAAGAGAGAGAAAATGTATACATTAAAAAAATGTCACTACATATAGAATAAACAAAAATTTTCTCTTATAAATAAAAAGCAGTAAACCTTTTTTTCTTGTCTGCATGAGCCATCTTTTTTCTTCTTATAATCTCTTCACCTTTTTTCCCCATGTAGAATGATCACACCCACTTTGGAAATGATGAATTTGGTCCGCAAGAAAAAGCTCATCAACCTAAAACATTACCTGCCATCAATGGTGTGACATGCTATGCAAACCCTGCTGTCACAGAGCCTAATGGACACATTCATTTTGACAATGTCAGTGTAGTATCTCTACAGGTATATGTTGATTCCATTTTTCCTTTCTTGAATTCCTATACTGCATTCTTAAATGAATATATCAAACGTGTTCCTGTTTGTGTGGGTTATGAATGTAAATCTGCATTTTTTTCCCACACTTCCTTTAAATTTTTACTCTAAACAGGTGAGTTAGGAAAGAAATTGTAGATCACTGGGTCTGGGATTTTATTATTATTTAAAATTATTTACAAGAATCTCTCCATTAGATTTCTATTTACTAATAGTGAAATCAGTTCATAGCATTCACTTATCTTACATTTCTCTCAAGATCCAAAACCAAAGAATTCTTTCAGTGATTTTAAATTTGCAAGAAGAAAGAAGATCTTAAGCTGTTAAAATTTTGTTTATTAATTAATTGTCTTAGGATTTATATCCACATGTACATATAAATAATATTAATAGGTGCCATTTTTTGAGCAAGTACTATAGGCCAGGTAATGTGCTAGGCATTTAATTATTTGATCTCTTTTACTTCTTTTATAGCAACTGTTCAGTGTAAGGGTTATTTTCTATGTATTACAACTACTTTATCTTCAAGTGATGGAAATCAAACTCAAATTACGTGTGCACAACATAGAGGAGAATGTATTACAAGGATACTGGAATGCCTATTTGAACAGCCAAGCTATGGGAAGAATGAGAACCTAGGAACCATTAGAATAGGACTCTTTCTCCTTCTCTTTCTTGATTCTTAGCATAATTCTTTTATTTCACTGTGAACTTTCTTTTTCCATAAGTGGTAAGCATAGCCATTAGCAACTACTGAAATTTATATTTTATAATTTTACCTACTAGAAGGAAATTAACCAGATCTTCTCAGTCCTAAATCCATAATTCCTGGGAAGTGTCTTCCTGGTCCAACTTAAATTAGATGATTGCTTCTAGGCTATTCTAAAAGTACTTAGGGGGTTGGGCCTCTTTGATGACACCAAAGGAGTAATGATGGAGTAGAGGATTGGTTACCAAAAAGGGATGCTGGGATGATAGTATTATTGGTGTCCACAACAATTCTCATTTGACAGATGGAGAAAGTGGAGCTTTAGATGTTAAATAACCTTTTAAGTATTACTCAGGAAATGGCAGAGCCTCAAGCTACAAAGTTAGATATAAATGTGAATAATTAAAAAGAAAATCCAAGCCGGGCTCGGTGACTCAGCCTGTGATCCCAGCACTTTGGGAGGCTGAGGTGAGTGGATTGAGTGAGCCCGCGGGTTCGAGACCTGCCTGGTCAACTTAGTGAGACCTCATCTCTACAATAAATAAAATTAGCCAGGTATGGTAGTGCACGCCTGTAGTTCTAGCTACTTGGAAGGCTGAGGTGGAAGGATTGTCGGAGCCCAGCAGGTTGAGGCTGCAGTGGCCGGGAGCGGCCACTGCACTTCAGTCTGGGTGACAGAGTGAGACTCCAACTCAAAAAAAAAAAAAAAGAAAAGCCAGCTACAGGGAAAAAAGCAAAAAACAGTTATCTGGAAGAGTTTATGATGGCAAATGACCTGAGTTTCCTTCTGGAAAGAAACCATGATTGGTCATATGCTTCTCCCTACTTGATTAAGGAAAATTTCAAGTGTGTTTGAAGAGGCAGTCTGGTAATTGCACTAACTTAAGAAGAAATTCTTTTATGCTATGTAAGGAGTGATGCTTTCAGATGAGATTTTGAAAAGACTATAAAAATATTCAAATAGGTAATTTCTTATAATAATTACAGCTTACATTTTTTAAATGCTCAAGTACTGTTCCTAGCATATTACATGAGTTACCTCATTTGATTCTCGCAATAACCTAGGGTATAAGTATTCTTTTGGGATACTGTGACTTAGAGAGGTTAAATAACAAACCCAAGGACACACAGTGCTTAAATGACAAAGCTTGGATTAATACTGAGACTGTCTGATGCTGAAGCCTGTGTTCTTATATACTTTACTGGAGTGCCTGCCTCCTCATGTTACTGCTTTACTAGAAGCAAGAGAACAATACTAACTCTTAATAAGTATTTATTTTTGTAGGGAGAGAAAGATAACTTGCTTTCTGAGGATGTAATTGAACACAAGGCATAGCAGAGTGAACCTAGAGAATGATAGTTAAAATCCTTCCTTACACCATGTGCCTATATTCTAGTTGCCTTATACAAGCAAGCTGTTGGTAAATACTGGATCATAGTGAAACTGTGGTTGAACTCTGGCAAGTGATTCAAGAGGTGCCAGTCAGCTATGTTTTTGATTCAAACATTGGTTAATGATTCTTCTGTACCAGGTGATGGATACTCTGCAATGAAATTTGGAACCTAACTTGAATTCTTGCTCTAATGAAGGTCCTCCTAGATCTCTCAGAGTTAGCAAGATAACTTTAGGAAGGAGCTTTGACCTTGGCCCGACCTTGAACAAATTCTCCATTGGGATTTTAAGATCCTGTAGCACAAAGCATGGAAGAGATACAATTTTGGATTTACAATATTTAAAGGGTTACTGATCTTCTTGACTATAGTAGAACCTCAGTGTGACCTCTCCAGATTTCAGGAAAGTTCCTTCTAATGAACCTAGTAGGGTAAGCTAGCTGCTAAATGCGCTTCAAATATAAGAATGAACCAATAGGAATATTTATATTTAGATAGGAGGATGTCTGTCAAAGGATTTAGCTTTTGTAAGAGGCCATAATATTCTTTTTGATCATAATTAACAAATAAATCAAGCTGCTCAAAAGTTTGATTTTAGTTAAAGTTTTAAGCCTCCTGGTTTAGGATTAGCTATGGCCAGAAGACATGTTTGCGGCAAATTTAAGCACCGTGACAATAATGGGGTCCTCAACATGATCCTGTTTTACATAATATAGAAATATAATTAAAAGCTATTTTTACTCCACTCCTGGTAGTAGTGCTAGCATGCAGGCTTTCATTCATTTATTCGGTAAATATTTATTGAGCTCATTTTCCTAGGCATTGGAGATTCAGAAGAAAACACATTCTTTTTTTTGAGTTGGAGTCAAAGAAATAAAATTTAAGAAAGAAATATGTCTGGATATTGCTTTAAGAGAGTAAGTATTGCAATACAAGTGATAGTGATTTTCTTTTTTGTTTTTTTGAGTTGGAGTCTCACTCTGTCACCCAGACTGGAGTGCAGTGGCCGCTCCCGGCCACCACAGCCTCGACCTGCTGGGCTCCGGAGATCCTTCCGCCTCAGCCTTCCAAGTAGCCGGAATTACAGGCATGCGCTACCAATGCCCGGCTGATTTTTTGATTTATTTTTTGATTTATTGTAGAGATGAGGTCTCGCTGCCCAGGCGGGTCTCGAACCCGCGGGCTCAGGTAATCCACTCACCTTGGCCTCCCAAAGCGCGGGATTACAGGCTGAGCCACTGAGCCCGGCCTAGTGATTTTTATAATAAAATTAAAATATTCTGTAATATGTGTGTATATTTAATATAATTTTTATAATGTTTACTAAATAGATATATTGCATACTGGTGGAGATTGGGCTTCAGTTGACCCATTCCTCAGATAGTTAACATTGTACCCAATAGTTTCTGAACCCTAGCCCCTCTCTATTCCTCTTCTCTTATTGGTGTCCTCAGTTGTCTGTTATTTCCATCTTTGTGGTCATCTAGCTCCCGCATGTAAGTGAGAACATGTGGTGTTTGGTTTTATGTTTCTGAGTCCACTTAGACATGTTGTTCTACTATTTTATATTATAAAAATTATTTAACTTAGGTGACTCCATTAAAATGTTTGAACCTGATAGTCTAATTTATGGTTCATTTGAGTACAAGTATGACTTTAAGAATTTTGTCGGCAATCCCTATTGCTATTGTTTCAACAGAGTAAAACTTTTCCAAATTGGAAATAATAAGGAACTATCTAGTCTAATTTGGCATTACCATCAATGGAATGTGAATTATGTGAAAAATCTACATTATGACAGCATGCTTCTATTTTTTTGAGTTGGAGTCTCACTCTGTTACCCAGACTGGAGTGCAGTGGCACGCTCCCGG